CTCCGTCCATCGAAAGTAATTTACTGCAACATTTACGTCCTTCAGCCTCCTTAAGACTCCAATTACCAATTCTGGATTTGGTTTTATGTCAAGCTTTGCTAGAGCATTCTCAAGAGAAGATCCCCAAGGACCAGTCTCCAAAATTTGGCACACGCCATCTACTAGCTGTCTCTTGTACTCATTCTTTGCCGGAGACACCATATTACCGCTATCCAAAACAGGGCTTCCATTTCCATTTGTTTGAGATGAATCCTTGATGCCCGAGGATGGATATAGTTGAATGGTAAAATTTCTCCTTGCCAAGGAGAAGACGCGGGTTCGATTCCCACTATCCGCCCAGGATCAGGATAATGAGTTAATGTTTTTCATTTAATAGAGTTAATGTTTTTCATTTAATAGGATAAATGATTAAGTATAGTTGACTGTGATAGTATTGTGGTTCTATCCTCCCCCTTCTTTTCTTTTCCTCCCATCCGAAAAGAAAAAAAGCTAATATTAATAGTAATTAATTACTAAGTTACCAAGATCAAACCTAAATTTTTTAGACAAAAATTTTTTTTTGCATAAACTTGTAGGATATTAAATCCTAGGTAGGCCACTATGATTCGAACTCATTCCATCTAAGTTATTTGCTATTTACATTGGCCATCATTGACCTCTTGAGCCATCTCATGATGGTTCTCCAATTGCTAGGGATAAAAACAAGCAAGTGTTTCTTCTTCGAAAAAGAATTAGAATCTCATGTAGGTAATCACTAATACACGAACCTATGACCTTGAGACTTACAGTTTCTCCCTTTGACTATAGGCTAATCCATGGAAGTTAAACAAAATGATGGTTTAATGCTGCTCTTTGACCACTACAATGCGTTATATTCTTTCCCAAGTTCTTGATCAGTATGGTCACTGTGTTACTCATTCTTTGAGGAAGGTAAAGAACAATATTTTATTCCAACTGCAGAAAACATCACAATATTGTCTTTCAAAAATGAACCTATTTCATTCTAACCAAATATTCCAAACATGGCCATGAACCTGGCAATCCAAAAAGGCAAATGCTTTCCTTTCAACCAGCAACCACCATAAGGAGATCTGTCTCATGATTCTTTCAGCCAAAGAGCATAAGTTATCGATCAACAGCCGACGTTCACTCATTTGGCATCAAGAACCTAAATCCAGAGAACCTAAAGCTTCCTTTTGAACTCGCAACGACCAAAGGAAATATCGTTAAAGCTTTACAACTCATCACGTGAGCCCAAAGGTTTGACAAAACAAATCTTGTAGGCAAGGAGCACAAGTTTCCGATCAGTCAATCAACAGTCAACTACTGAAATGGTTATCTCACAAGTCACAAGTAATAAGACACCGGTTAATGGTTATCCCTGCTCTAGTTATAAAAGCACTTCTAAGACAGAGGTCAACATGATTCCCGAACTTTCAGAAGCAGTGAACAAAAACCTCTTTGGCCAAAACCTATCCGATACTGCTAGATGTAACTTGTAAGTACATGATTGGGTGCGGGAACAGAGTATGGTTCTCAAATAGTTTTTTACTGCGAAAGTTCTCAATTAGTTCTTTGAAATTGTATTCAAACAAAATCTAAAGATACTAATTTACCTCTGTTCCTTAGAAGCATCTTCATGTATGCATGTCAAGAGCTGTCTCTATGTCAGCTATCCACCTGAGATTACACAACAGGGTAAGAAACCCCTTACAAGATAATGGATGAATATTACAAACACGGATGAAACAAGTATACGATGACCATTTAATCCGAAGCAACTCCAAATTGTGATCGCATCGAACATAGGAATATAGAATGACTCAGGTATTGATGACAATAAAATAAAATTAAATATTACAGGGCACAGAAAAGACGATTTCATTAAAATAATTTAGAACCTCATTAAGCACTCGATTCCAGTCCTTTATTCATACAATATACTTCCATAACACGTGAACCCAGAACGGAATATGGAAAGAAGGTACAAAATTCGACATACCCATTAGAAAAAACATCGATGGGGTAACATTAAGAGCCTAATAGAGTTGTTTTTGACATGTTCCGAAACTTCAGACGCCGAATGGGATACTGAACAAGCGGCAAATACAGCGCTCAAGTTTGAATAGTCAGAGAAGCGGTAGAAGAGAGTGTGGCATTGACGGATTGATTTACAGTAACCAAATCAGCTCCAATACGAGAGGCTCAACCATGGAAGAGAAACGAAGTTGTGGAGGGAGAGCGGAAATCTCCTTCCATGTCGCGGCGGGCAGGTCACTTCCTAAACGCACCGTTTTAACTTCTCGGTTTATTGAAGTTGAGAAAAGTGAGGTTTTATTTATTTATTCATGGATAATTTGGGGATGAGAAGGAGAAAGGGCCCTAATCCGAATCTTGAGATTTCCAAGTTTTTAATTACTTGTAGATATTTTTCATCTTTAAAGGAGCAAAACGAATTTGTTTGCCTGATTAAATGAGTGGTTTGTTCAGGTAAGCAACTTTTAAACTATTCCCGTACTTGAAATATATATTTTAAATTAAAAGTTGGTGAGTTCGAGTAAACTTAAAAATTTGGTAATCTAATAGTTCAATTAGTTTAACATTCGAGATTTTGAATTTTCACCTTCATATATTGTTGAACTAAAAAATATACATAAGTCTTCTCCTTATATAAATTGATATAGAGTGTGAGACAAATTTTGAGTTTTTAGTCATTTAGAAAAAACAACTATGCTAAATGAAATTAGATGCTTGAAAATTAGTAACCAGGTTTAATTACCATCTAAATCTTAAAAATTATTCAATTACATCTCTAAAATTTGATTATGGTTGTAGTTGAATTCTTGGTGTTGATATGATTACTTAAATGTTGAAATGGTACATTTTGAACGATAACTTGAATATTTATAAATAGAAAAGAGGAAAAAAAATGAAAAGAAGATATATATTTATATATATAACATTATCTTTAAAATTTTAGAAAAATATCATAAATTGCATTCGAAGTGCAATATAGTGAAGCTAGCTAAAAGTCAAATTTTTTACTTAAAAAAAACATAAATATAGGAAGCATCCAAATAAAAGATATATGCAAAATGTTGACGTACCAATAATCTCAATTATTAGTTTTTTCTTTTATTTTATTTTATAAAATGACTTCTGTTATATATATATATATATATATATATATATATTTAGTATAACAAATTTGGAGAGAATGTTATTATGTTTTTCTAATTTAAACGAGTGGGTGATAGTGCAAATTCGTACTCCTTAAATTTGAAATGAGTAGTTTGCAATCTTATATTATAAAAATTGTAAATTTGGTATATAATATATATATGGTAGAACACAAAAGATGAGTTTGGTATATTCTTAACTTTTATTTTATTTTATTTTATTTTTGAAAGCATTTTTCAAATGTCCCGTTTCTCTCGCACGGCGGTCAAATAGTCATAAATAGCTAATAAATGTATTATTATTATTACTTTATTATAATTTGAAAGGGTTATTTTCATTTTTGCAAAAAAGAAATACAAATCTGGGGCAAGCGTATCAGGATTCGGCCCCCTTACATTCGTCCTTTGCTGTGAATCATGTCTATGATCAGCAACATTCCCTAAACTTCTTCTTCTTCTCGGAGATTCATGCGTATGGAAACCCAGTATTCTGTTTCACATTCTTACACTTCGGCGATGAAGATGACCATTCCGCCGTCCCAGCATGCCGACAATGACCGGAGCACCACCGAGCTTCGCGCCTTGGACTGCAACCTCACCTCCCTCTGCGACCACATCCAGATTGAGGGGTTCAATTCCGGCGCATTCTCTGACATCGTCGTCCACGCCATGGGTTCCACGTACCACCTCCATCGCCTAATTCTCTCGCGCAGCTCTTACTTCAGGTCTGGGTTGTTTTGAATTGAGAAAATATGAAGTTGTTTGTTTGTGAGTTTTCGCTAATTTTTTTATTTCGTTCGCACTTGGTTGTGACTTTCGGAAGATGGTGCTTCTGTAATACTTTTGGGATTGACCTATTCCATTGATTCGGTTGGTTTTGTGATGAAGTTAATGTTTTGATTAATTTGATCGTGGCGGAGTTTGCTGTGAGAAATGGGATTTTACCTGATGTGAAAGTTGGCTTTTCTTCATTCGTTTATTATATTACTTTCCTTAATTTGGTGTCATTGCTTAATTTTCTGATTATTTACTGGTTAGCTCGTTTTTTTTTTTTGTTATATCTCAACTCCTTTCTAATGCTAAGCTGATTAGAGGGGTCCATGATTACAATTAATGATTACTTGATTACTCAGTTAATATGATGTTATGGGTTCGCTTCTGCAACATATATATATTTGGTAAAAAACAAAAGAATATATTGAACTGTGAGAGGACATCCTAAGGACAAAGGGATGTGAAATCTCCTTTCCAAAAGAGATTCATAAGTACAGCTTTCCAATCTATGTTGATCATACATTAGTTTGCTTCTGCAACATCAGTAGCCTACAATATGATTTGCAGGAATATGCTCCATGGGCCGTGGAAAGAAGCCAGTGCTCCTGTTCTAACTTTGCATGTTGATGATAAAAATGTCAATGGGGAAGCAATTGCAATGGCTTTGGCGTATCTGTATGGACATCACCCTAAGTTGAATGATAATAATGCGTTTCGTGTCCTCGCTGCTGCTTCTTTTCTTGACCTTCAGGTATCATAATGTCATTGTCACCTACATCATTTTGTCGTATTTTTCTTTCTGTAATGACAATGTGGA